ATTGGTATGACATACAATAAACATAACCAGAGAAGGAAGGAAGGAAGGAAGGAAGGAAGGAAGGAAGGAAGGGAGAGTGAGTATGTGATTTTAACCAAAACATGGAGGGAAAAAAGAAGCAGCTTTTTCTTTTTTTAAAAATATATTTTCTAAAGGGAATAAACCATCTCCACATATATCTTCTATTTTTTTTAAAGCCCTCACTCCACGGCATGGAACATGAACATACTGTATTTGGAAGTCTATGTCCTCCTACACAATGCCATCTGTGCAGAATCTACAGCAACCCCCGCTCCCATCCAGCTACAGCTTGAGGAGAAAAATTGTATTACATTCGTGTATCGAGTTACACCTCAAATATTAGGAAAGAATTTTTAAGAGAGACCTCTCAGTGTTTCAGGCATGGAAGACTGGTGGCAGAAGGAAGGTTTTTAATTCTATAAAGATGGAGGGGGAGAGGTTGGCTAAAATCATGGGCACGCCAGCAATGGCTGAAATCTCAGGGCAAACTGAGGCAGAGCTTTTCTTCCTTTGGATAAGCAGAAGGGAAATGAATAAGCTGCATACTCAACAAGCCAAGCAGGGGAAGCAATTCTGCCCATTTTGAACAGATACTACATCTTGTCATTCAGGAACACAGGATTGAAATGCCTGCCACAGATCAACCTTGAGGACGTTTTTCCTCACTTCTTTCTGGCTAGACACAGGCTAGTGGGCATCTCCTTGGTCTGCTGCTTTTCATTGTTGCAAATGGAAACCTATATGAAGAATTTTCATGCTATGGCAGGATCGTGATACCGGGATTAGGGAGTCAATTTAGGACTGGAGAGAACCAATATAAACCCATCTTGATCTTGAAGCTTTGAAATAAACTGTGTGGGTCACTTTATTTCAGTCTAATCTACCTCACAGAGAAAGTTAACACAATAATTAAAAAATTATGCTCTCTCAACCTTTTTTTGTTTCAGCTCAACCTAAATCTTATCTCTCCTATTTATTTGCAAAAATACCATCCTTCCTTTTTTCCCCTTTTCTTTTAAAGTAACGTAGAAGAGAATTTTGTCAGGAAGTTCCCATTTTTAAAATTTATATATTGCTTGTTTGCCTTTGCTCAAAATGCGCCTTCGTGGCTATGAGGCAGGTGGTGACAGCTGTCTTTATAAATACATATTTATTTTTACTAAAGCACTCACCTGCACACTTTTTGGCCAGTATCCTCCTGAGACTTCAGTGAGGGGCAAGTCCTGTCAGCATAGTAGCCAAGGCGATGCCCTGTGGTGTAATGGTCCATTGGGAAGTAGAACTCCTCCCTGTGTGAGACTCTCCATAGTCATCCTATTTCATAGGGAGAATTCAAACATCCAGGCAGCTGGACCAGTGCAGATCAACAAGCAGGAAGCAGGTCTTTTGTATAGTTAATATGTCTTTATTGTCCATTCAAGACCAAGCAACCTTCAAATACTTTGCATTACATGAAGGATATCTTGTAATAATATGCTGTTCCTGGGGAAATCCATTGCTGTCCCAGCAGTGTAAAGACTGAGCCCCACTGTGAAGACTGCAGGTAAACTCTGATGGAAGAGCATCGTATATGATGTCTAAGTCTCTGCTATCCAGAAAGTCCCAAATGAACTACTCTCTAAGGCCACTGCCCTGGGCACATGTAGACTTTGACCATGCGGGACCTGTCTCTAAAGTGCTACTAATGGTGCCATTTGCACTAGTACTGCTGTTGCACAAGTGGAGATCTATGAAAAAAAGCCCATGAAGGATGATCCCGCTTTACTATGCTGTCAGAATGATCTGCTCCATAGAAGCTCAGTAGGATACTTGCTCCTTCTGCAGAGGAATCTATCCATTCTTGAGCACTTGCAGGAAGCTTAGATGGTCCACGGAGCCTCAATAATCAATATTCTCATAAAAGGAAGAATGACCAATGCCATTATGTAGGGTGGCAACATCAATGATCATGGCCAGTATCCTGTTGGGTAATCACCTTGTGAAGTTACATGTGCGTGGAGTTATGCAGAAGTCACATTAGATCACACTGCTGTGCAATCAATCAATCGTGCAGCAGAACCCTCAAACCTGCCACATGTGCTGTGAAACAGGCCAGAGTTCCTTAGGAAGCACTTGCTGTTTCTGCAATGCACGGCACTACCTATACTACTCTTTCTTGGATTCTGGCCAAAGTGTGCTAACAGCAAACAAGCTCACTGAATTGGGTTTCTCATGTTTATCCTGCCAATTTGAGTTATCTGTTGAAGTTTTATTCCCCTGACACAAATCATTTCAACAATAAACTCACGTTTCCACTGTTTGATCTAGTTGGTGGCCTCAGCAGTTGGATTTTCTGTTGCTGAGTTTTGAATTTTTAGTTAAATTCCTCTAAAGCTGTAACAAAAGTGCAGGGATTCTCAGAGCAGAATAGCCTCAAGTTCTCCAGTGTAGTCCACCTCTTTTCTCATCAACTGGCACTTACAGTCTCAATAACTCACTCTGAGACATTAGTTAAGAGAAAGAATAAAAAACATTTTATTTACTTACGTTTGCGAACAGATCAAACAGCAAACTGATGAACAGAACTGCCTTCAACAACAGACCTTAACAGATTCTAGAGAGAGAAAAAGCTCTCAGCAGAGAGGCTGGGCTCTCTTTGAAATCAAAAGCAGGAGAGAACTATTTGTTGATGCTGGATAGATTGACAGGCATCCCAGACCAGAAAAGGTCCGTCCCAGCCACACCTTCTCCAGGCAACATGTAAGGTTGTAAGAAATCCAACAGTTTCCAGGGGAGATCTTGCGCTTGACTAGGGTGTATGGGTCTTTCAGCTGCTTGGAAAGGTAGATTACAAAATCCCCTATCACTCAGTTAAACCATTGCTGTTGATTCCACTTTTCAGGTTCACAGAAGAAATTCTACCTTCAAAGACCACTCATGCCATTTCTCATATGGATGGCTGAGAACTGCTCATCATATGCTGCTTAGATCATTGGCATAAAGCTATGAGATAGCCTATGTATCTTTAAGAATAAAGCAAATAGGAGATTGGGGAAAGGGGGAATTTTCATTAGGAAAACAATATGGTAGCCCTGATAGGTAAAGCAGTTTTCAGTGGAAAAACACTGCAGAGGAAGCCCATAAGAACCAACTTTCCCTGACATTCAGATCTGGATAAGTCTCCACAACTACTATCTGCAAAAGGGCAGAGACAAAGGTATTCACACATCACCCCTGCAGAACATAACTTGATCCTTATTCCTCTCAGGTAATTCCTTGTACAACCTTTTCTCGTATCCCGTTAGCAAAGAACACCTTCTAATTTTTTAGGATGGTCGTGTTTCTTGAACAACCGTTAAACAGAGCTTTTCCCCTTCTCGCTTCAGTCCCATAATTTGGCTGTCCCTCAAGTCTTGTTCTCTATCAGCATTCCTTCCAACTCAGGCTAGGGCTGCCTCTTCACCCTTCCTCCATACATTCTGCACCTTTATGTGCCTTAATCTTTCCTATATACCTACTGCTAGAACCTCTTCCTAGCCTTATTCTCCCATTGTGTGAGACTTCATCTCAGCCCACCGTTCCCTCTCATCTCACAGAAATGGGACTGCAAACTCCTGTTTCCCTTAAAGGGCAAGGCATGACGAGGTACCAAATCAACCCAGCCGATTAGTATCTAAGGCTCCCTCCCACATATTTTAAAACCATATAGTAAATGTAGCTATTCAGTACATCTATGCTCAAGTAAGATACAACAACATGCTGTGACCACAGTAATGTCACAATGACACTGCGCTGGGAGAGCTGGCGGTCTCTATCTCCTTTTCTGTATTTAGGTAGTGGGACAGCCACAGGTATGAAAGCTCTTTCTGACACTCTGACCTCTCTTTTGTTTTGTTTTTCTGCTGTAGAAGGTGCCTGACTTTTGTTATTGCTGTTGTGTAATTCCCCCCCCTTCAATATTGCTGCTGTTGGATTTTATGAGATTGTTTTATTGCTTTAATATAATTTTATGTTTTAAGATATATTGTCAGCTGCTACAGGGGCACTCCGCAGGAGGAAGATGTGGGATATAAATGAACCTGTAAATAACACTGTGCCAGTGCTGCTACTGTATAGGACTCAGGTTGCAACCACGACAAGATGCTCAAACCATAAGGAAAGCTCCTCATCTCAATTTCCCCCCCCCAGAACTTTTCATTACATAAAGATGATATAAAACTTTCACAGTAAGAAGTCAAAAATTAGGCCAGACTCAATGGCTCATGCAGTTGGATGATCAAGAAAGCAAAATGGTGTTTTAGTGGTAGAAACAGAGGTGACAAATGTTTGATGTATTGCAACCTGCATATGATGCCTTTTAAGAGGTTTTGGCTGGGAGGGACTTTTCTGCCTTTTAAGAGGTTTTGGCTGGGAGGGATTTTTTCTGGCTGGGAGTGGATGTCAGTCAACTCAGTAGCAGTTAATACTGTACAGTAGTTCCTTCAGTCAACTCAGTAGCAGTTAATACTGTAGTTCCTTCTCTACCTCAGATTCTTTCCCCCACCTTTTGTAGTGAGGGTTCTGTCAGTTCTGTTACCTCTACTTCAGATTCTTTCCCCCACCTTTTGTAGTCAGGGTTCTGTCAGTTCTGTTAGAGTATTAGCAATGGACTCTTTCAGAACTGGACAGTTACGAGTTAAGTGTTCTGTAAGTTATGAAACCAGTCAGTCATGATGCTAATTAGCCAGTTACACTCAGTGATGTAACCAGTGTATAATTTTACATGATACAATGTTTGTTTTTATCTATGAAGAACTGTTAGTAAACAGAAACATTTTATTCTTTCTCATTAACAGTGCCTTTGAGTGACTGTATCTAGGAAGTAAGTGCCAGCAGACGTAAACTAATAAGGGATGTTCTGCTGAGGGAGACATAGTTCAACCTGCTCTCTGGGTCCCTGCCTGAATACTTTTACCTTCTGTGTAATTAGAGGAAGTTTATTTATTTCTAAGCTACATACTGTTCCTCACATATTCTGCCCCCACCACAAAGGTGCTTTGCTTCAGTGAAGGCTTCATACAACGTATTGTTTTGTATCTGGTGTAGGAATACCTGGGAGAAATGCTACTGCCATGGGAAAAGGCTCTTCCATGAGGATGTACTACAGTGATGATTCGGTCTCTTTTGGCCACTAGCAGGACTACCAATTTGGCTGTAACTGACCTTCTAAAGTAGTGCAACACTAAATTTGTCCTCCAATATTACTGCTATAAAGACCGACACCAGCCTCACATTTTTTGCTACAAGCCTACCAGAGAGGTCTGTGGCCTCTGGCAATTGGCAGATGTTGTGGGGGGAGACCCTGTCAGTGAAAACGACAGCCTATACCTTATTTATTTATTTATTCAATTTATATGCCGCCCACACTACCCAGAGGTCTCTATACCTTGACACCTTTGTCACTTCTGTCTCGTGTAGAATCTAAAAAAATCTGTTTGCCTTCCTGTGAGCATGAGCCAAGGGCATCGCATCTGGGACATTCTGCTTGAACCCCAGGTTTTATAACATCTTGCCTGATGAAATGCTCTGGGGAACTCAAAAACTCACCCTATGTGTTAGTCTTAGCGATGCTGCCTAACCCAGGGCTTTGGTATTGCGAATGAATCTCTTGGCTGTTTTCTGAATCATGAGTGAAAGAATGAAATGGACATAGACTGTAGTCTCATACCAGGTCAGAGTGTTTCCTCTCTACCCCAGCACTGTCAGCTCTGACTAGCATCAGTTTCCAAAAAAATTGGGAAAAATATTTTTCATCACTGGCCACCTGATCTTTTCAGTGGGAACACCGAGATTTGATACAGCAAAGCATGTGCTTCATCACTGAGCTATAGATCCTTTATAATGGCCCAAATCCTCTCACTCAAGTTATGTTGGCATAGCTCAAACAGTGTAACTTTTGGAGACAAATTGCCCTAAATTAAGAAATCCATGCAGATGTTACCAGTTGTACACTGAGTTGTATGACTCAACATGCAACAGATAATATTGATGGTGGTTTCTTCACCAGGGGCAGTTACTTTCCAAAAGTTATGTCATTAGCCTAGCTATACAAGAGGATTTTTTTTTGCCAATGAATGTTTCCATGATTCACTTGACTGAATGGGTGCCTCTTATACCATGGGAGTAGCATCTCACTGCTCCTTTTCGCTTCATATTGGGATTCTCCTAAAGACTACCACATGATGTTGGGCTCTTTCTGCAAGAGTCAGTATCGGGTGTTTCAGAAATACCTTCCAGTT